TGATTATTTTGATTCATTGGATAAAAATTTATTATATCAATTATTAAAAATTTAATTTTGATGTATAGAAATATATATATGAAGTCATATGCCCTATAGAAAATTTATGTACGGAAGTTCCTTATATTTTGTAATATTTATTTGTAAGGAATAATCCTTTAATGATGTACGTAAATTTTTTTGTAAATGTGTATGTGATGTAAGGAAAAATGCATTTTTACGTACATGGGAAAAAACCTATAAATTTTATAAATAATGAGATTGTACTAAAAACTGTACTCAATGTAAGAAAAAACGTGTTCGATGTATGAAGTAAACGTACTCAATGTAAGAAAGACGTACGGAGCAAACATACTCAATGTAAAAAAGAAAAATACTCAATGTACAAAGTAAACATACTCAATGTAAGAAGTGAATGTATTCAATGTAAGAAAGAAGCATACTCAATGTACGGAGTAAACATACTCAATGTAAGAAGTAAATGTACCTCAATGTACAGAGCAAACATACTCAATGTAAGAAGTAAATGTACCTCAATGTATGGAGCAAATATACTCAATGTAAGAAGTAAATGTACCTCAATGTATGGAGCAAACATACTCAATGTAAGAAAGAAACATACTCAATGTATGAAGTAAATGTATTTAATGCAAGGTGTAAACGTATTTGATGTAAGGAGTAAAGGTACTTATTACAAGTATATTTTGATATAATGTATAAAAATTATTTTTTTAATTCAAATGTTTTTATTACAATTTCTTTTTGGTCTGGTATTTTTATTTTCTTTCTTTGCTGGTGATTTTTTGGATCTTTTGCTTGGTGGTGATTTATCTTTAGATTTTCTTTTATTGGATCCTAAATAATGCAAGTAATTTAATTAATTAATTAATATTATTATAATTGAAAAATTATAATCATGATGAAATTGAATAACTTACTATCAAAAAAATCAATATCATTTACAAGATAATTATCTGGAAAAAAAGTTATTATTAATTATTGAGAATAGATAATTTTTATGATGCACCATTAGTTAAATTTTATTACCACCAGGAACAACAGAATCACTACTGTTAGAAGCAGAATTATCACCATTAAGAGCAGAGTTACTACCAGGTGTAGGAGAAACAGAGTTACCATCAGGTGTAGGAGGAGCAGAGTTACCACCAGGTGTAGGAGGAGCAGAGTTACCACCAGGTGTAGGAGGAGCAGAGTTATCAGCATTAGAAGGAGCAGAGTCACCATCAGGAACAAAGTTACTGCCAGAAACTATTGTTATTTAATAAAATAAATAAGATTAAAGTAATTTAAAAAAAATTACAATTTACAATTTTAATTTTTACCATCATCATTAATTTTATTGGCTCTTTTCTTTTCTTTTCTTTTAGTATAATCACCTAATTTTGTTTAAAAATAAATATTAATAATTAAGATTAAAATTAAATAAATTAATAAGGTTAAAATCTTACGTCTATTTTGAATATTTTTTTTAATAAGTTCCAAAATTATCCAATTTGAATGACCAGTTTCTAAATTTGTATTTCGTTTCTTGAACTTAAAATATTTATTTATTATAAATCAGTGTAATCAAGTGATCAATGCAGAAATTAAAAATAATAATACCTTATCCACTATTCTTGAAATCAAAGTAATATCTTGTTGTCTATAGGGTATTGATAAGTCTATTTTATAGTATAGGGAACAAAATCTAACCTCCTCCTAATAAATAAATTAATATATAAATAAGTATAAGTAAATTCATAATTAATATAAAGTATAAAAAAATTACCAAATAAAAATTATATGTTTTTTCATCAACTTTCAATAATTCGCGAATTTCACTGGCTTTAATATAACCTTCTTGGTTTTTCTTTCTCTTGGGCCTATGAATGCCATTATTATTATTACTATTGTTATTATTGTTGTTGTTGTTGCTGCTGTTGTTACTTCTGTGATTACTATATCTACTACTACTTCTATCATCATCATCATTATTGTTGTTGTTACTTCTAGTTCTATTATTACTATTTCTACTACTACTACTGCTATAATTATCATTATCATTATTATTCCGATTATCATTACTGGTACAATTATTATTGACATTTTCACTAATACTATGATTGTTTTCTCCATTTTTATTTGTTATCTTAAAAAAAAATATTATGAATTATTTATATTATTTATAAGTATATTTTTACAAATAACTAAATACATACATCTTGTAGTATATGTTTTTTTTCTTCTTCCAAACGAGCCAAAAGTTCATTAATTTCGTCAATAGTTTTAACAGACATTCTAAAGAAAATTTTATTGAAAACAATTAAAAACAATAATTTAGAATATTACGCGAATAAAAAAAAAATTTTGCACCACGAGACTACTAGAAAAAGAGATCTGATCATAAACTAACCATAAAATGAAAAGATTTTCCATGTCAACACCAAAAAGAAATATTCGTGTACGTTTGTTTTAACGCGACAACCAATATATCATCTTTCTACAAATTATTTTCTAATGAAAAGAAATATTTGTTTCACAAAATATTAATTGATTTATTATTTATTTAAATACTTACAATTAATTTAATAATTTTTTTTTCATGTTTCTCATTTTTCTATTTGTATTATTAATTAGTGATTGTTTTGTTTTGTTATATTATTATTATTAAAATTAAAATCATTGTAGCCATTTGGGTATATTGTTTATCTCTGCTTCATTTTTCTGTATTGTCATGATTATTATCTTTGCAGTCATTCAATGTTATTGATCATTGTTGTTGTGCAGTTTACTCACTAATGGTGGCGATTTTAGATCATTTGTTGTTGTGTAATTCACTTGGTGATTTTGGTGATGATTTGATATTCATTTGGTGATGACAATTTTGGATCACTCACTGGTGGTGGAAATGAAAAATATTGTTAGTAATAATTTATGGATAATAATTTCCAATTAATTAGTAACAACCATTTTTTTTACCTTTACTAAAATCAGCATTTATGAGAAAAGAATCAAATCAAGATTATTCAATGAAATATCACTCACTGGTGGTGGAAATAAAAAATATTGTTAGTAATAATTTACAAATAATAATTTCCAATTAATTAGTAACAACCATTTTTTTTTACCTTTACTAAAATCAGCATTTATGAGAAAAGAATTAAATTAAGATTATTCAACAAACTATTACTCACTGGTGGTGGAAATAAAAATATTGTTAGTAATAGTTTATGGATAATAATTTCCAATTAATTAATAACAAAAATTTTTTTACCTTTATTAAAATCAAGATCATTCAATGAACTATAATTACTTGTATAACCTTTTAAGCTTTGTGATTTAATAATTTCATCATCTAATATTCTACTTATATGATATGCATCTGGATGTGGTTTACTACCACTACCACTATCATGACTAATATTACTATTATTATTATTATTATTATTATTTAAATTTTCATTTTTATAAATTTCTTCATGTTTATTCCAGTTGGTCTTTTTGATTGATCCACATCCCAACACTTCTACATCATTTGTACATAATTATCAGGCATTTCAGTTAATATTGGTGGTTGTAAACTACACATATATCATAAATTAAATAGTTCATTCGTTGGTGGTGACAATACTGATGATGATTTTGGATCATTGTTGTGTTGTTGTGCAATCCAATGGTGACGATGATGATTTTGGTATGATTTTGGATCATTCATTGTTGTGCCTCCTGCCACAAGTATATTACCACAATGTAAATCATAATGGACTAAATCTTTTAGATGTATATCATCTAATGCATAACATAAATATCTAAAAATTGCAATTCTATCTTTTAATGTTAAATTAAATGGTGATGTTGATGATGATTTTGGATCATTGTTGTTCTGCTGGTGGTGATGATTTGGATCATTGTTAGTGGTAATTTTGGATCATTGTTTGGTGATGATGATTTTGGATTATTGTTGTTGTTGCTTCAGTGGTGATATTGATGATGATATATTGTTGTTGATGATTTTATTCTTCAGTAAATGATAATAACAATTTTATTATATTTTTTTTTTATTGTTATTGTGCAGTAATAATAAATGAATCATATTCTTACCTATTATTATTATCACTAATATTACTACTGTCACCACCACTATTGCTATTATCAATAAATTAAGGAACCACCATGGTAAAAAAACAAATTTTTTTTTATACCAACATGCAACGTCAATAATAATTATATATGTGTAACTTATAAAAAAATAAATTTTTTTATCGTACCACAATTACTTTTGGTAAAGCTGCTTACAGTTGCATATAGTAACAGTAATAGCAACATAATAAATTAGCCTTTGGATGTGCGGGTATTGGGCAGCTTAGGCCAGCATTGGATTGTTTGAAATTGGTTTTAAGCATGGATGAGTAAAGGTAAAATACTTGACCTAATTCTCTTTGCAAAATAATTATGTTTTATGTGATTTGATTAAATAGCATAGTTATGTTAGGCTTTCTCATAATTGGAAATTGGGTGAACTTGACAACTCAAGAAACCTCTACTTCCTCGGAAGGCCATCATATCGAGAACACCTATTTCCAAAAAATTATTTTTGTCAATCTTTTAGATCTTTTTTTTTTCAATTTTTTTTTCAATTTTTTAAAAAAAAAATTTGTGGCGAATTTTAGAATTTTTAAATAGAATAATGAGTACAAACATCGGGAATATACGTACACTAAGTATCTCAGTGGAGATTGAAATAGTTAATAATAATAAGATTTTTTATTATAGAGGTGTAGTGAAAGAGGATGATACTTATGCTAATTTTTTAAAAAAACTCGATGAACAATTTGATGAAAAAACCTACAATATCACTTCTGTAAAAGTACATAACAATTACAAAGGTGTCTGGGAGACCGTAAACCATAAAAAGAAATTAAGTTCAGCATTTGATATAAATATCAATAGTATTAAATTTTGTTTAGAAAAAAAAAGATATGGTAAATACAATAATAAAAATAATTATACATTCATTAATAATATATATTATATTAAAATAATTATTATATTTTAGTAAGTAGACACACACAGACAATGGTAATTGCAGATAAAATAGTTAAACCAAATAATAGTGATAGTAATAATAGGTAAGAATATTAATATGATTCATTAATTTTAATAATACTATTAAAAATACCGACACATATATATTGGCAACAAATATAATTAATAGTAAGCCAAATAAAGAAGTATCTACGAGATCTACATCACCACCACCTCCGTCTCCATCAATAGATGATGATGTCACGCCATCTGAAATGCCAAAAGAAATAAAGTTGGATGAATCACCACAAAATAATAACACATCGGAATTACCTAATACTAATCTATTGAATGATACAAAATCAACAGAAGCTAATAATCAACCAATTGGTGATCCACCTACTATACATAAAAATATTAATAAAATTGATTGTAGTGGCAGTAAACGTAGAATGGATTCCGAAGATGGTGAGCACTTAAAATATATTAAATTGACTTGATTTATGATTTTTTTAAAAAAAAAAAGTTAATCCTTTGGCATTAGCCATTAAAAGTCTAATTTTTAAATCAAAATAATAGTAATGATTATTGTCAAATTTTTATAATAAAAAATGAAATTTTTTGTACATATTTATTTTTTAAATAAAAATACAAATGGATAATAATTAATTTCATTAATTTTCTGTAAATATTCCTCCACATCAAAGTGTACCTGTTTTTCCAATTATAATATTAATAAATTCTTTACACACCTCTAAATAATATATCATTAATAATAATTATAAACTTTTCTTTACATGAAATTAATATTAACAATACCCCAACAAAATGTTTTTTGTAAGTGGGAAATTATTTCATCAAATTGTTAATTTTCACCACATTTGGTGAAATGGTAAAATGTGAAGCAATAATTTTTTTTCTCATCCTCAATCTGTAATCCTATAAAAAATAAAATACAGAATTGGTATGGAATGCAGGAAAGATGTATAAAAAGTATGGAAACAGTTCATGTCCACATGCGAGTATATACACTACAATTATTCAAAATTAGTATAGTTAATTTTAAGTGTGACAAAATTTAAACTCTTTTCTTTAATGATTATTTTTTTTTTAAAAAAAAAAAACAAATTTATTTACATTCAACATTTTACCATTATGTACATACTAATTGTTTATTACCATAATGACTACTAGTCTTTTAAAGGATTTAAGAGAAAAAATATTTGATAAATTGGAGAGATCGGAATGTATTATTTTTAAAAAACTCATTAAAAAACTTGGAGAATCTCCCGAGAGTGATGAAGAAAACCCAGATTTTAATGTGAAGTATTGAATTAAATACTTTTAATGTAAATTTAATTCAAAACTCTTGTATTTTTTTATTAGAGTAATATCATACCAAAACCTGAAGGCACAAAACAACTAGTGATGAAAGGGGAGAAAAAAACAATGATGGTTTGGAAGATTATTATGATCCAGAAAAAGGTTATGATGATTATAATTCAGAAGATTCAGATGAGGGTGATAATAATTACAAAGGTTCAACACATGAAAACCTATACAAATTAATGAAAGTCAAAACAACAAAAGTTGCAAACACAAGTATTCTATTATTAATATTATTGATATACTGTATAGTAGTAGTAGACATCAAATAAACTTAATATTAATATTAGATGAAGATAAACTTACTCAAATATTGAAGAGGATTATAGAAAAAAATAAGATATGTAGTGGTGATATCTATACTACAAATAAAAGTATTATACAAAATGATTATACAATGCTAAATGGTTTTTTTTTTTAGAAAAAAAATACTAATAATAGAAGAAATAATTAATTATTCACAAAGAACTTGCTTAAATGTTATTTATTATTTCTTTTACATCTATTCATTGAATTCAAGAAATAGTAATGTAATTTTTCTTCTATTTAATTTTAATTTTAGATCAAAATGGTAAATATTAAAACAAAATCAAATTCTTTATCCAAAAAATTCATAGAAAAATTCTGGAGAAATTGTTAATAATGATTTTGTGTATGATCTAAATGAAACTCCTGCTTCAAACAAAAATAAAACAATTACTCTCAATTATATTAAATTTTTTATGGAAGAATATAGATCTTCATCAGCAATCAGTAAGAATCCTTCTGTATTGCTTATTTGAATTTATTAATATTTATTTATTTATTTTATTAATAATAGAAAACAAAGAGAATTGGACTGACTATGTGATCGAAACTATTGCTAATCAATATATTACACATTTGAGAAAAGAAAATAGTAAAAGTGAAAGTGATAAAAAAGAGAGATCTAAATTCAATAGAAGAGCTAATAGAATTTGATTGGTAATTTATTTTTATTTTATTTTCTTGCAATGACATATTACATTAGAATGTGCAAATAAAATGATTTAAATTTATACAAGGCTATTCCTCTTGAAAATATTAAAATTTTTTTTGCAAAGATTGCAAGAATAATTTATTTAGAATCCATGGTTTACATATTTTATAATATATAGTGATGACATTTTACATGTTTATAGGGTCCTTTCCACTTTATTTTTATATTCTTTTTTCCAAATAATAATATTTATTTTTAATTTATAATAGAAATCGAATCAAAGAAACAATATACTAAATGATTTAAAAAATGAAGAGTTTCAACATCCTAAAAAAGAAATAAAAATGTTGTTAATGCAAAGATGCACTTCACCAGAAATAACTGATGATGAATATAAAGAAGAAACTGGTGTACAATGTTTATTAGTACCAGAATTAATCTGGTGTAATCAAGAAGTAAATTTTTATTAATTTTTTATTTTCTTGAGTAATTAATGTATTATTGCGTGTATATATAACTATATTTGTAGGCTAGACAGATATTGAGATATATAGATGAAAAAATTAAAGAAAAAAGTAGAGTTGAAAATCCATGAAGCAATAAAAATCCAAGAATATATATTAACAGAGAAGATCCTAAATACCAAAGACTAATTCCTTTCATTCAAACATCATCAATAAATGATGAAGAGGACTGGCCAGTGTGGGCAGATTAGTTGATAACATATATTTCATTCGATATGGCAACTATAATCATTTTATGTCGTTTTTTTTTATTCAAATATACATGTATACATTATGTCATATTATTGTGTGTATGTATGTTAGCAATATTTATTATATTTATATGATGTTTTATTAATGTTTTAATAGCAGATTTGCTATAATTTAATTGTATTTAAATTATGTTTTAATAGCAATTTTACTATTGTTACCGGAATGCGGATTTGACCTTAATTCGCTGATTAATAACCCGGAATTCCGCAGTAATTTATATTATTAGTACTGTATATCGTTTATTTATTTTATTATTTATTTTTAGCTATTTATCACATTACTTTATTTATTATTTATTTTTAATTTCTATTTATTTCTATATTAATATCCCGAATGATTTAATTAGTTATATGAGCTCGTGTTACATTCCGCAGATTTAATTAATTCGTAACACGTTAATATTAGACCTTTATTTAGTAGAAATTAGTGGAGAAATCTCCCAAATTGGGAGACATATAACTTAACATGTATATAAGGAACGAGAATTCGCTGTAGTCGAAGAATAACTTTGTAACAAATTAACTTAATAATAAGTTAATAATTAGTTTCGACTAAATACAAAATCAAATAAATCATTTTATCAAATTACTAAAACAAAATTATTCGCTAATAAATCTAATTCGTTAGTATTAGCCTATTCAATCTGATCCACATAAAACTAATAAATATTTGTTATCACCCTTTAAAATACGCTCTCCCAAAATTAATCGGCGACACTATTATTTATATGGTATTTTAATATTATTTTAGCAAAAATAAATTGTTTATTTCAATGAAAAATGTTGAGAAAATGAAAGTAATTTTGACATATTTTTCTGATAAAATATTATTGCAAAAAACCAATTTACCACTATATTTTGGCTTTGAAAAAATATGTTATTTTAATAATATTTTAACTAAATTTATCTTTGTCAAAATCAAAAATTTCGACCCGTGATAATACATATTAATATCAAAAAATTTTTTGCATCAAAAGATTTTTTTTTATTTTCTAATTTCTCTTTCATTAATTACGTTTGGTGCCTGATTAGTATTAGTATTAATGATCGACATTATCCGTTGTATTGATATATTTTTATTATATTAATATAGATTTAAAAAAAAAAATCCGCTAAATCGAATATATATGAAAAATCCAGAAATATTTGGTTTTGTTGTACGTGAAAACAAGTTTTAGAAGGGAAGGGATCGGTTGATGTGAGCCACATCAACGTTAACGTATCAAGTTCACGTTTCACAGACAACAGAATGACTCATGCCCATCTTAAATTTCATTGGGCGAATTCAATTTTACAAAATT